TAATTATGCTAATCTCTCGCGTGCACGAGCAGCTGGAAACAAACAGGTGGAATTTACGCAGCTCATTTACGCACTTTTCCTGAAGATAGAAGAGTTTGTTGAATCTGACGTGACATGTTCGTACGAACCCTTCGTACGAACAAAAGTAAGAGAAATTTAGGATAAGAATACGAGAAATTTAGGATAAGAATACGAACATGTTCCTGCATGAGGCCCAATGATTCTGACTCAACAACTTCTATGTTGTTCAGTTTTTCATTGAATTTACATGATATGCCTGTTTATTGGTAAAATTTTGCGGTAGCAGTAGGCAATTGCCGTTGCGCGTGGTTTTTTAATTTAAGGGAATTGGTACTGGAAAGTCCTTGAAAGGTCCTTGAATTTGATGTTGACCAAGGTGTGGGAACCCTGTTTGTCAGATTTCAGTTGTTTTTATTCATATTAGAATTAAAAGTTTTATAAATGCTGTGCAGCATGTGCTCATTTATTCCTCTGTTTCTGCAGCCAAAGACACAGCTGATCCCTGGTATCTTCAGCAGACGGGCAAGAAGCGCGTGAAGGTGAGATGAAACACCGATGAGTTTAAACTCAGACACGAGGCGCCTGTTTGTGAACAGAAATGTGTTTTTGTTCCTTCAGCGTCCAGAGAAGCTGAACGAGAAGCCGTCCGTTCTCCCTGCTGTGGAGGTGATCGCCTCCGGTGGATCCTACAACCCCGACTTCATCTCCCACCAGGTAACCCTGTGCCTTCAGATTAAACGTTTAAAACCTCATGTCGCGCCATTAAAACACATTTTACCTTTTTTTTAAAATTATTATCTCTGTGTAAACCAGGCGCTGCTTCAGGAAGCTCACGACGTGGAGGTGAAGAGAAAGAAACAAGAAGACCGGATAGAGAAACAGCTGGCTGTCAAGAAGGAAGACATAGCTACAGAGGTGCAGATAAATGACCTCATGTAACGGTTTTATTTTGGGTGCAGCTTGTTTATCTAAATGATGTTTCTATTTATTTTTAGGAAACAACTCTCCGTGAAGCAGTGGAGGGTTTAATAGAGGAGGAGGAAGAGGAGGAGGAAGCAGCTCCTGACAACAAGGAGGACGATGAAGAGACTGTGGCTGCCATCACAGTGGCTGAGAAGAAGACTGAGAAACAGAGAAAGAAAGAAAAAATAGAAAAAATTAAGGTACAAATTACTGAAAGCTTTAAATTCAGACTTTTTTTGTGCTTTATGGTTTCATTTTGACATGCGTTATCTGTAGACACTCTAAGTTTATAAACATTAAAAGTGTTTTTCTCACTAACGGTTCACAGACTGATATCAGCCGTTCACCGGAAATGTTTGAAAATAATGTTTTTTCTTTACGAAACGGTTCCTTTTGTTAAAAAGTGACATTTTCATTTGTCCTGCTGTTATTCTTAAAAGCTTCCAGTCAACATGGTGCTTGTCTTGTTGTTGCTGTGACTCCAGGAGCAGCAGCGACTGTCCAGCAGACAACAGAACTCGCAGCAGCAGCAGCTCTTCCAGCTTCGCTCCATCAAAGCCTCCATCAAACAGCAGGAGCAGAAGACCAAGAGGAAACAGACGGAACGCAAGATCAAGCAGGAGGCCCAGAAATCTCAACCCCGACGCCTCGGGAAACTCAAGTATGTACCTACATGTGATCAGGGGCTGAAAGAATCAATGAGTGGAAACAATAAATATGATTACAAACCAAGTTTGTGTTATTGTTTCTGAAAAGCTCCATATTTCACATCATGGAGGTGTCGTCTTCAGATTTACAAATGTTCAGTCTGTTAATCTGAAGTCACATTAAAAAACTGATGACATGTTTTCAAAACTTTTAGACACTAAAACAAAACAAACTTATTACAAAAACAAAACATTTTACTCCTGGATGTCTGAGTGTTGGTTTGGCAGTGAAATATCGTAAATATTTTTTCTTTGTGTTTTTAGATTCCAGAATCCAGACCTGGAGGTGAAGTTAAGTGATGAGTTATCTGGCTCCCTGCGAGAACTCAAGGTGCGTCACTAACAATCAGTTACCTTTTTTTTCCTTTTATTTTGTGGTTTCTGACATTTCTTAAGCCAGGATCACACTTTTCATCTGTCTCACTCTAATTTACACGTGAATGATCTCAGGAAATGTTAGATTTTCCAATGTTGAGTGTGAAAAATTGTCATATTTAGATTGTAATGCTGTGCTGTAGTCAGGTCACCAGCCGGCACTGAGATTTTTGTAATCCACCATTATTACTGTTCATGAGGGCTGCAGCTAACGATTATTTTAGAAATCAATTAATCTATCGATTATTCTGACGATTAATCGAGTAATCAGATTTTTAAAAAATTGTCATGTTCTGCAGTAATTATTTAAGCTTATTTTATGAGAAATACAATTATTTAATATTGTGAAGGGGTAATATACACCTGATGACCCTGCTGCAATCAAAGTAAAATTACAATACCAGTTGTATTAATTAATGCATTTTAAACTCCATTTGTTTGTATTTATGTGGTTTGAGGAGGCTTTAATTAAAAACACTCTGTCACTGAATCATTTTAACAATCACTGAAAAAACTAAATGCATAAATTTATTGTTATGGATTGGAAAATTGAATGTCTTTTTTGTTTTGAAATTTAATAAGTAAAAAGGGTAACATAAACATTTGGATGTTGCAATTGAGTGTTGTAGAGTTCACTTGTTAATTGTAACAAATTATTTTAAGACTGTTATTAGGTTGATGCAGGGTTCCCATTTAGGCAATAAAAATTTAGTCTTTACTGCTCAGCTAAAAACAAATATGACAGTATAATGAAGGCTAAAATCATACGAAGCAGCAGCAGCAAATAATTTAAAAAATCCATCTTCAATAAATACTTTTAAACTTGAAATATTTACTCCAAGTATCATTTAAACTAAGATAAAAGCATATCAACAAATAAGTGTTTCAGCTCAAGCTGTCAATCTGTTGCTGTGCTTTTATTTTTATCTGACAAACTTACAGTAAGCATTGTTTTAAATCACACAACTTACACACTGTTTAATAAAACCCTGCCAGGTCACCATGATTAGTCAGCACAAATAACATTAACTTAAATATACTTCCTCCTTGTACCTCTGTAACCTGACAGATTATCACAGATTTAGGTAACCGAAGGGAACTTGAATGATACCTGTTAACTCCGGACGCGTTCAGTACATGCTGCCGCTGTTTTTGTTCCGGTGCAGAAACATCGTGGATGTGCAGAGCGTTGCTCGTTGTCGTCTTTTCTGTATAGTTTTAAGTGTTCCCATGCTTTTTATAATTTGTCGTTTTCTGAGTTCTTCGTTTCGGCACTCTTTGTTTTCTTCTAAAGCTAAATATAGCGCTTAGCAAGCATACATGCGTGACGCGTTGACAGTGTAAATGTTAGCGCTTGTTAGCGGAAGCGCTAACATCGTTGCATTGTGTGTAACACATATAACAGTCTGGGCGGACGAAAGTGCGCTGATTATAACAGTATGTATTTTTTTTAACGAAGCTTCGAGGCAGATAAATTTGCCTCGAGGAATTTTTTGTAATCGAATTACTCGAATTATTCGAGGAATCGTTTCAGTCCTACTGTTCATCTATTTCTGCAAGTGCAGAAAAACTATCGCCTGCAGCCGTCAGTACAGACTCGATTTCACTCGCTGATACTGGGTGTGAAAGCCTCCACTCTGAGACATGGATTCAAAAAGCTTTGGTGTTGGAAAAAAATGGCAGAACGCTTTAGAAAACCTACGGTTTCACTTTTAAAACTGCGTTGTGTAAATAAGATCTTCGACAAAATCTTTGAATATGAGCTCGAAGCAGCAGCCGTGTTTCCATCATTGGTTTTGCGCATTTTAAAGTATCACATTAGAAAGTGTGAATGGAAACACAAACGTTTTTTTTTTTTTTTTGCTCGTTTGAGGTGGTTTTTGAGTTAATGCTCAAAAGGAGAGATGGAAACACATTTAACGTGAAGAAAATTACATTTCTTTCTCTGCGTCTCCAGACAGCATGTAACATGGCCCAAACATATCAACACTTTCTGAAAACTTCTCTCCATTAACCTGAGATGTGTATCTACCAGCGAGTGTGTGACTTCTGTTTCCTGTTCACTACAGCCATGTGTAACATCGTCTGACGTAATTACTTTGTGTAGCCTGGTTGATTCGCTCCAAGCCAGATGATGGAAACACGTCTGATTTGCATTTTTTCTTTTTGTGATATTTTAAAAATTGCTCAAAATTCAAATTCAGTGTTTCAGATTCACAAACTGCCGAAAAATTCACCTCCATTCCCAGCCTTAAGAGCGTCCACCATCACCTCTTTTTCCTCGTTGTCCTGCTTCTCTTTTTGGAGTTTTGGTGAAAATATTAATAATCCATAAAATTAGTTTTGTTTTACCATCAGCAGTTTGTACCGTCTCAGCTTTGTTCTAATTGAATCATTAGTTTAAGCTTTGCTAGTGAATAATTATCATCACCATTATCATTTAGTGTAAAACCTAATTGAGCCTTTTTATTGAGGATTAACTGATTTGTTTAGGAATCACATGTTTATTCAGAGCAGAGGGACTTTGTCTGAACTTGCCTGTCCTTTTAACTCTTGTAATGTCGTGACTCTGCAGCCAGAGGGCAGCATCCTCAAAGATCGCTTCAAGAGTCTGCAGAAAAGAAACCTCATCGAACCCAGAGAAAGAGCCAAGTAAGGACATCAGCTTTACGTTAGCTTTAACCGACCCACACCTCTGAGATTATTAAGGTGCAAACTGTGTAAAACACTTTTTGACTCTTATGTTTTTTTCTTTTAGGTTCAAGAGGAGACTGAAGGTGAAATATGTGGAGAAGAGAGCGTTTAGAGAGATCACATAATCGCCTGCAACAACGTTAAATAAAATCTATAACAAACCGCAGAACCCATGTTTCTTTTTGTTCTATTTTTAAACTTTAATGTGAACCAGGCAGATATAGGAGCTGTGTAAATGATCAAAGTGTCTCTGTGTCGGAGCTGAACTTCAGTCTGAGTACGAGTCCAGAGTCTGGGTTTAGGTTCAGCACAGGGTCAGCAGCCTCGTGGAGTATTTTAATCCATTTCATCATTTATTCATGTTTTACCTGGTTTATTTTACCTGTAAGTAGATTGGTTCTGAGGTTACCACACACACACACACACACACTTTTTGTTTCTTTGAGAGACTTTAAAAGCATTTGCATTTTAATCTGGTAACTAGAATCTAATGAACGTTTAGTTCAGCATTACAGCACAGCTTAGTCCAGAAGCTGTTTGCCAAAACTGCAGCTGATTTCTTTAATCATGTCCAGTTTTTCAGTGTTTCCTCTGCAGTTCCAAAGAAAAACAACTAAAAATACAGAAATGAAACAACACATTTAGGTATTTTATATTTCACTTAATTAAAACTATGTAAAAAGTGATTTAGTTGAATTTATTATTTAAACTGAGATGGGTGTTAGGACATGGGCTGACACTTAAGCCTGCAGGTCTAAAACCATAATTGCCTTCAGTGTCTGGAGCTCGGACAAAGCTTATTATCCATTAATCAGTGTAAAAATTTAATCTTACCTTTGGAGTCGCCCCCTGCCATGAAGCAGGGTAAATCACTTGATCTCCCGTCACTCAGTAAAGTGTGAATTACCTGCTGAACCTGATCGGGTTTCAGAGGCTTTAGTAACATTTTTACACAAATTACCTGCTGATGAATTAACCTGTTGACTCAAAGCTCCCGTCTGCTCCTAATAAACCTTGTCCTCTTCTTTTCCACTTAAAGGATTTACCATAGAGCTCATCAGCTCTTTGTAACATTAAACTAACTCTAATTCAGGTTGATTTTACTGACATTTTGAAGTAGAGTTTTGTGGAAATGCTATGAGTAATGAGTATCTTACCTGTTGAAACAGATTTAAATTATCTCTGAGTCGCTTCGTTGTTGTGGAAGAGTTGCGGTATACTAGCTTTATAGTTGATGCATTGAACATGATGCAGGGCACACAATCACACCGTCCCCACCCTGTATACCAGCATCACAGTGTCGCAGCGCCTGGTTGTGCACCTCCCAGTTTTTTAATTGACGTGTGCTGTGCCCACCAAGCTCCATTCAAATAGTTTGTTTGTCAAGCGTTTGTTCTCTTTGACAATATTTCTACAAGTTATGAAGTGTACTGCCACATGTTCTTTTGGAGGATACTGTACCAATTTAAGTGTCAAGTATAAATACTATGCTTCTTTACACTAAAACATGCTCTTATACACCAAAAACATGCTCCCATGAACTAAAAACGTACTTCCATACACCAAAACATGCTCCCATCAAGGAAAAAACATGCTACCATTGACTAAAACCACGCTCCCATACTCTTAAAACGATGCTCCCAAAAACATGCTCCCATGCATTAAAAAGATGCTCCCCCACACAAAAAAAACATGCTTCCATGCACCATAAACATGTTCCCGTACACCATAAACATGTTCCCGTACACCAAAAACATGGTCCCCTACACCAAAAACAGTTCTCGTACACCATAAACATGCTCCCGTACACCAAAAACTTGTTCCCGTACACCAAAAACAGTTCTCGTACACCATAAACATGTTCCCGTACACCATAAACATGTTCCTGTACACCATAAACATGTTCCCGTACACCATAAACATGTTCCTGTACACCAAAAACATGGTCCCATACACCAAAAACATGCTCCCGTACACCAAAAACATGCTCCGTACACCATAAACGTTCCAGTACACCAAAAACATGTTCCCGTACACCAAAAACATGCTCCGTACACCATAAACGTTCCMGTACACCATAAACATGTTCCCGTACATTAAAAACATGTTCCCGTACACAAAAAACATGCTCCCGTACACAAAAAACATGCTCCCGTACACTAAAAACATGTTCCTGTACACCAAAAACATGCTCCCGTACATTAAAAACATGTTCCTGTACACCAAAAACATGCTCCCGTACACTAAAAACATGCTCCCGTACACTAAAAACATGCTCCCTTACACAAAGAAACATGCTCCCGTACACAAAGAAACATGCTCCCGTACACAAAAAACATGCTTCCGTCCACAAAAAACTTGCTTTAATAAACTAAAATCTTGCTCCCATAAACTAAAAACATGGTGGCTAGGAAAGACACCAGAACAGAAATAAATCCTGAAGATGGATAAATGTCTTCTTATAAGCCATTTTAAAAAAAGTGTTTTCCTGTTAGCACTTTTCTTTTATAGACAAAAGGCCATAATGGCAACAATTATGTAAGAAATGTAAATTTTGTGTTTTTGTAAACAAATACAATCTGTCACTCATAATGTTTTATCATTCAGTTCTGTACATCTTCAGACTAAATATTGATTGCAAACATCAATATTTGCAGAAAGTTTAGGGTGCAGTGTGGATACTGTAGTCTGTACTAAATTGACAGCCAACCAATAGATGGAGTTTAATCTGTTGACTGCACCATCACCCTACAAGGGTAGAGAAACTTCTTGGTGTCTTGCTGTGACAGAGACGGATTACAGCCAAGTCTTCTGTGTTTATTTCCTCGTCTCTGCCCTCCTCTCCTCACGTGTGAGGCACACTGCGTCCAGATTGTCTTGACATGGGGGCAGGAGGGATTACGTGAGTGCAGTCACTCATTACAGATTAGATTATTACTCCTTGGGTCTGAGGAGCCGAGGAGTGACTGAGGAAATTATTAAAAAGACTCGGAATAGAGACGTCGCTGAGTAAAATATGTCTGATTGTCAGTGTTCAGTCTGAGATGTTAAAAGCTAGAAATGATCAGACTTTAGGCGTCTTTCACCTCCTAACCTGTAGTTTGGCACAAGCAGAGACACGTGGACACAAAAAGCATTGTGCAGCAGGTAAATTCAGGTAAAAGGAGAAAAACATCTGAACTTTTCAATGTAGGATAAAACTCTTGCAATAAAGCAGTTTTGCAAAAGAAATATATTACAAAATCTTCAATATTGGTTGAATTTTTAGTTGAACAAGATGTCTTTAAAAACTATCCATCAAAGTTCATCGGTTTTAGTGTTGCTTTCTGCTCCAGATTAGCTCTTTGCTAATGTTTTCAGTCGCTATTTGCCTAATGTTCATAGTTTAAAGATACTCATGGTGATGTCATTAAGACTGCTCAGTAAATAATCTCTGAAGTAAGAAACCAAATCAGCACATTTTTAAAAGAATGGTTCATTTGTCCATAGCTTAAACATATGTAAGCAAAGTTTATGAACGGCTAACACAGGCTTTTGTTTAGCTGTGAAAACAGCTGAAACGACAGGAAATGGAAAAGTTGTTTGGGGGTTAGAGTAAGTTTTACTGTTTCTCTTAATATTTGTGTTTTAACCAATGTCTTTTGCTTGTTTGCTCATCACATTCTGCTGTATTTGTTTGCCTACAGTCTAAAGCTAATGTAGGTCAGTCGTGTGACTCGAACTTCCTCATGGTTTTACGCAGATTTGAGGTGAGAACACGCATTTCAGAATTCCAACATACCAAAAATTTGTCTAGCCCAGTTCTGGCCCACACACAACATTTGGCCTAAGTACCACAAAGAATGAAGGCACCTTTAGTGGTTTAGATATGGTTTTCCAGAGGTGGTCCATGCATGGGCCAGCACCTCATAAACCAAACCACAACTGGGCTATTTGTGGCTTTTCATTTTAAAAAACAGTACCGTCATTGCCAGATCTGGCCCACACCTGTCTGCCGTGTGGATTATATATCAATATATCTGGAAAACTACTGGAGTAAACTCCTACGCTCATCTGATACAGGTCAGGATAAAACGTTTTATTTTTGGTTTTGCAATGAGTTTCTTTAAAGACATTTATCGTTTACATAAATCCTTGACTTTTAAGGATTTGTCCTTCAGTATTCTTGTTTTTGAGGTACTGATTGAAAACCTCTTGATAATGTTTGCAGATTCATACATGTTTGATGTTAGCTGTGCCTTTGGTGAAGAAAGGAGTTGCCCCGAAGCACGTTTCTGTTACCATAAATTGGAACAGTTTTATAAAATGTATATTATTTTGTTTTGAAGACTGGAACCCTTGTAAGAGTAGTTATTTGAGACAACTAGAAATTTTTTAAGCTCTGTTTTTTATTGGTCTCTGGAGCAGAAATGTGCAGGAACCCTGAAAACATGACCGTTTCAGTATAAAACTGATTTAGGCATTTCGTTCTACTGCTTTCATTAGTCCTCCGCTGCACACGTTGCAGTTAATAAAAAACATTGTCTCTCTAATTTAATTGTGTAATTTGCCTGTAATTATATTGTTAATTCCACTAGTGGTGTGAATTTCCCAAGTCATCCTCAGAACATGACCGTGGACTTCTCACGTACGTCCTGACATTTACTGACCAGTTGTTGGGCTCATTACACCCATGAGGCTAATTGATAGTTCCTACATATTTGGTCAAGCATAATGTTGTTTTGGTTTAGTTGCACAGTTTTTATTTTTTAGTTTTTGTTATGTGTGCATGACTGAGTGATATGGAGCATCCTCTGAGCAAACGGCTCCAAATTTTAATGACTACCACTGATTCAGTTTTCTTCATGATTTCATCATGACTCTGTCACACACTCCCCTGTGTAGGCTCAGTATCCTCGCATAGCCTCAGCACATCTCTGCCTCTCCCAGCGCTGTCTGAATGACACGGTGTGTGCGTGTCATTGTTTTGACAACAGAGTGAGGACCATTTGCTCCATAGTTACTATCAAAGTGAGGACCTCTTCAATGTCCTCGCTTTGTTTGCAGCTCTGCTGCTCTTTACTAGTCAGCTTTAGAGGTACGGTGTGAATTAAGTTCAGGTTAGGGTTAACTGTAGACCTGTAATGGTTAATTTTAGGAAAAAATTCTGGTTTAGGCATTGATACAGTTACAAAAATGAATGGAAGTCAATACAAAGTCCTCAGTGTGTGTGTTTGGACGTGTATTTGCTACATCATGGGGGCCATTTTCCAGAAAAACACACACTTGTGGGAACCCAATGCTCCTCATGGGGAACAAAACTGGGTCCCCACAGATAAAGATGCTGATTTTGGGTGAGCTGTTAGATTTTTGACCAAGGTGTGAATGAGTTTTGGCTAGATTTAGTGTCAGGTGTGTACTGGGGGTGTTAGGTTTGGGGTAAGGGGTCAGGGTTAGGCTATAGAGTGACTGGAAAATGAATGAAAGTCAATGCAAAGTCCCCACGAGGATAGAAAAACCAAGTGTGTACATCTTTTTTTTTTCATGTTGGGAACAATTTTTGACCATTTTCCTGGTATACACAACCTTCTGAGTACCCATTATGGGGACAAAAGCCGGTCCCCATTGGGGGAAATGCCATTAGTGGGTCTGGGGTTGGGTTTAGGACCAAAGTGTGCATTGACTTTAGGTTAGGCTTAGGGTCAGGTTTGTACTGCGGTGGTTAGATTTAGGGTAAGGGGTCAGGGTTAGGTTATAGAAATGAATGGAAGTCAAAGCAAAGTCCCCATGAGGATAGAAGAACAAATGCATGTGTTTATGTATGTAAGCAGCAATAAACCAGAGGATGGCATAAAGATAGACAAAGAATACAATTTTGGGTGAGAGTAAAATGCAAAATGTTTTTGTATTGGTGGTGGTCTGAGTAGAAAGAGATGAAGAGGATGTGCAGAGTGAGGAAGAGGAGGGGGGGGATAAGCACGGTGATGGAGAGTGAGTGAGTTAGAGGGAGTGAGAGGGGTTGGGGAGGAGCGGAGAGATGATTCCTCGCTAATCCTCTAGACACACGCTTGGTCTGACTGCCTACTGGCTCTGAGAGAAAGAGGGAGACGGAGGCAGGTGAAGGCAAACAGAGAGAGAGAGAGGCTGAGAGGGAATAAAGATGAAGGAACGAGAAGAAAGGGAAAGCTGCCTCCCATAAAGCATGCTGAGAGACACACAGAGACAGAGGGAGGAAAGTCTCACAGCGAAGCGGAGGAGCACCATGCTTCATTCCTCCTGAGCTACGCCAGGAGAGCAGGAAGGAGCAACAGGGGGGAGGAACAGAAGGAGTCTCTGGAAAATATCAGGGAGAAACAACAGAGAAGACTGAGGAGGAGGGAAGAAGGGTGAAAAGAAGGAATAAAGAGGATGGAGGAGAGAAGCACGAGCAGAGAAACAGCCCTGGCTCCTCCGGCTCAATTGAGCGTGTGGACCTGAGCCTGGACAGAGTTACTACGAGATGCTGTCAGAGAATGAGTGTGGAAAGGAGGAGTGTTAGTGTGCAGCTGATGGATGTGTGTTTGCACAAACTCTGGCTGCTTCCTAAAAGTCACCAGGAGTAGATGAGAGCCTGGTCTCTTTTAGACCAGGTGTGTGAGAGAACATATGGCAGAGCAGCTGTTCAGGAGGTAAACGCAGACCAGAGGAGGGAGGCGAGGGAAGACACACTCCCAGGAGGAAGTGCATTACGACGTGTGTGTAGGAAGCAACACAATCCAATCACTTAAGGGTTGCAGAAAGGAGCGTGAAGCTGTGGAGACCAGCGTGATGTCACTGAGCATCTTCAGAGTCTGAGATCCTCCTGAAGCAACTACCTCATCGCAATACAACAAGTGGACTTTAAGACTTGGAGTGCAGCACTTTAACACCCGTTCACCTGCTGACTGAGGGGTCCTGCTTGAGTTCCTGTACCCAGTGGATGCCTCCCAGCTCCAGCCATGGGAGAATGGACCATCCTGGAGCGCCTCCTGGAGGCTGCTGTGCAGCAGCACTCCACTATGATAGGAAGGTGAGTGGTTGGTGAGATTCTGGTCCCAACACAGTTTCTGTTTTTCACCAGTTTGGTTTTCTGCTCGGTCTGCATGCAGTATTTCACGTATAATGTCACTAACATGCATGCAGAGTTTAAATCTTTTTTTCTGCTGTCAGTCGGTGATTCCTGAGCGGCTGATTGTGAAATGAAGGGGGAGCTTTAGCCGCTTTAATCCTCCTGAGTGACATGATGGGATGGTTTAGGAGCAATAAGGCACAGCTTTAGTCCACACAAAAGGCTCTGAATACCAGGGCATCCAGGGCAGCATGAAGACCTCCCTCCTGGGGTGTCCACCATTTACCCCTTTTCATACTGTCTTTGTTTTTTACTGCCTGCGGCCAAAAGGCAAGATACATCTGATGGTCTGTTGGTCAGCAAAATATTTCATGACCCACTGGATGAATTTTAATGACCCATTCAGAACATAATCATTGAATGTCCATTTATAACTGATAACCTACAGGAGCTAACTTGATTTAAGATGGCTGCTACAGCTAAATCTTATCAAACACAAAAATGTATGTTATACATCATTACATTTTACAGCTACTGAGCTTTAATTTAGCGTGGTTCTGGCTAGGATTGATACCTAACATACTCTGAGCATTAAACTGTTGGAGTGAACCCTAGAGATTTGTTGGAAAAATACATTTTGGATGAATTGTAATGCAATTTTCAGGAAGTAGTTATTGGACGTTAGTCTACAACTGATAAACGTTTGCAGTCAATCCAGTTCAAGATGGCCGCCATACCTGATTGAACTGACCCCTACTCAAAAGTGTCCACAAGTCAGTCCGTTTTACAGATATCATGCGATCCTCAACACATTCTCATCTTATAAGACGATGCATGAGAGAGAATGATTACTTTCAAGGGGTTGACCAAAATGGCCGCGATGTCATTAAAATTCAGGCATTTACAGGAGGCAGGTGAGCACTGCTTCAAGGAGATCTTTAATCCTTTATTTCTCCTCCAATTTTACACCACAGCAGCTTCAGAAACCACAGTTCTAAATGTGCATCATCTTACCACAATACCCATTTCCTCTTTATAGTTTACCACATGAAATTATTTTCCAAACCCAAAAAAGGAAAAGAAGTCAGTGCAGTCACGGCAGTAATGATTAATGCATTCTCCTACATCTCGAAATGTCTTGTATTTTAGTTTGTAGAAATCATTCTTGTTGGAAAGGCAATTATTCATGAACATTTTAGCCTAAGTAGAAAATCAAATCTGTAAAGACATAATTCTTTTTCACATCCAGCAAATGATCTATTATGGAAGGTGAAAGGTTGCTGAAACCACCATTTTATCATTAAATTTACAACAAACTGTCTGAATTAGTAGCTGAACTGAGTCACTCTGCCTTTAATCACTGACTGTAAATCTGTTCACTGTGATTTAACAGATGTGTGGAAAAAACTAATTATAGATTTTATTTAGGTCATGATCTTAAAGTAAAGTTGACAAGATTTGTTTTCTCGTGCTGCGATAAACTATCGGTCAGCTTTTGCTTCCTCTCCTTCATGGCACACTTGAAGTGCTCTGTTGCTCATCAGCACAGCTCGTCATCCTGGCTGCAGGGTCTCTGCGAGAACGAGAGGAGACGGAGACAGAGGGTTGCCAAGGATAAAACTCACCAAAGAAGAATGATATCTGCAGAGACAGTCACGGATCAGAAATGTGAGAAAGTTGAGTTGGAAACCATCAGAATGTGAGAAGCCCGAGACGTGACACTGATGTTGGAGAAGCAGTAAAAGGACGAGAGAAAGCCAGAGCAGCAGGGAGTGGACACACGTCTCAGTCTGCGGGACGTTGGTAGGAAGCCAACTGTCTCGTCATGAGATGGTGCCGTGCGTCGTGACCCAGGCAGGGCAACGAACGTCAGCCAAAAATCCATCTTCGCCCAGATTAAGTCTGTTGTCCATTCAGTTGAAATGTTCAGATGACAGATGAAACTACAGGAATGTTTTCATCAGCTCTGGAAGAGCCTGCAAAATATATTAAATTATTCAGAAGTGGAGAGAACTTAATAATGTTCAGAAAGTTGGACAATTTTTTTTTCAGTATATTACCACTGCTTCAAGGTTTGCACAAGCGGCCGGTGTATTTGAGCTCACTTTTTGACAAAGGACAATAAAAATGGTTCTGATCCGGATGTAAATATATTAATGTAATTAGTGGTTTTCTTTTATTTTTTTTACATTTTGAATATGTTCTGAGAGAATGATCAGTTCATACAGTTTATGTCACCACTCTTTCAAGATGGAAAGATTTGCATTTATTTCTGAAAGTAGATTTCTGATTTTCTAATTGGACTATATCACTACTACTTCTAATCAGGCTGAAGTAGACAGATGTCTTATCTGATTTCCAACAAGGTTGCTCAGGACTGCTGTAAGGCTTTTCAAGCTCTGCCTTTCTTTTGAAAATGCTACTAAATCTGTTGAACTTAAGTTTGTGTTGTCCGCAGTCAAATAGTTAACGCTTTAAAGTTTTTGAATTCAAACCCCAGTAGATTCAGATCAAAACGTATAAATCTAAACCATTTTCAGTGATACCTGAGGATCCTCAGGGTTCTGTCCTCGAGCCACGTTTGTTGAACACATATTTTAGAGATGGGATGAATGATTGGCTCTTTGAGGGGATCCTGATGTTGACAATCTGTTTATTTCATAGAGATGTTCAAATTTGAACACATTACATCATCACGTCATGTGGGCATGTTTTTGTTACGTGGAACCCAACCTCCCCCTCTGCCTGCTTTCCTTGAAAAAGCAAAGGAGCGATTGTCTCTACAAACGGCTTTTTACTGTCTGCAAATCAGTTAGTATTGTTCATTGTAAGGAGCCCTTCAAATGATTCTGTTAGGAAGATTAGGTTAGTTAGTTGGTTAGGTTAGTCTGACTTATTATTATATATTTTTTGCAAATTAAATATAAATTTTCATTGCTATGCAGATGACACCGAACTCTACATTTTCTCCAAACCCCTTCCATCTTATTCATTAATTGTGTGTTCCCATCAAATTTGCTTCAACAAAAATTGAGGTTTACCTCAAAGGTGCAGAAGCAGCCGTCAAGTTTTTCCAAAACTGAAGCTGCTTCCTCAATATTTTGTTCATTGCTTCCTGTTCTCCCCAGTGTGTTATTCTTCATTGTACTTCATAGTTCACATAAATAATGTGATGTGGTTTGTTTACTTTTTGTTCTGAGTAACACAAATGATGACTGCTCATCTCTCCAAGTTCAGCTACCATATTTGTTTACTCCTTGGTAACATCTCAATGAACATTGTAAATCTCTTCTCTTTGATTTCCCTCTCAAGTCCTTACTTCATCTGTCATTATTATAACCAGTCATAACCACATTATTCTTGTCCTGCAAGAACTAACCAGTGTTCCCAGATAGTTGAGATTTTTAGCCCAAAAACCTGTTACAAACCATCACAACACAAAAACCTGTCCAATCAATCCATCTGGGGCGGCTGTGGTAGAGTGGTTAGGAGAGTCGACCTGGAACCGAAGGTCGCCGGTTCGATTCCCGTCCAGTCGACTCAGTCGTTGTGTCCTTGGGCAAGACACCTCACCCGCCATGCCTACTGGTGGTCAGAGGGTCCAGTGGCGCCTGTGTATGGCAGCCTTGCCTCTGTCAGTGCGCCCCAGGGCAGCTGTGGCTACAATTGTAGTTTGCCACCATCAGTGTGTGAATGTGTGTGTGCATGGGTGAATGTCTGTAGTGTGAAGTGCTTTGAGTGTCCTGGATGGATAGAAAGGTGCTATATAAGTACAGTCCATTTACCATCTAATCAATGGATTATTGTCGCTTTCACTCTGTTCTGTAACTCTTCTTGTATTTTCTCACTTTGGCATTGTCCTGCCTGGTTTACCACAGTTTCACCTGCTGCTGCTAAAACTAGCATAATTAGGGCATCACTAGTTCTTTTGTCAATGCCCTGGCAGAAGACAATAGCCAATCAGAGATGGAGAAAGGTCAGGAGGCGTTGCTATAAACCAAGATGATGATTGATTGGTTGAAATGTGTTTTTTAAATTGTTTTAACTCAAAAAACACTGAACCGACTCCGAACCCACCCAAATTATAACCACTTACCCAAATCTCAATTTGGCTACATCCAACCACCTCACACCTCCAGCTGCCCACCTGTCTGCTATGGGAGATAATCATCTGCTCCTCACTTCACCTCTGGAAGGCTCTCCCAGCAGATAATCAGAACATAGACTCTTGCTGTATAGTCGTGGTTAAACACACATCTGCTGAAATATGTCAACGTTGTTTGATTTTTTTTTTGTTACTATTTATTGTTCGATGTTCTGAAAGTTGCTTGAAAATAAAATGCATGTTATTAATATTGCAGTATTACTAGGACAGCACAGTTAATTTGAAACTAACACTTTGAATGAAACGACTTGTTTCTGCAGTCACGTTTCTTCACTGTACTTTCTGTCCAATCTGGGTCATGACTGATCAGAAAAGCACACAAACACACTCTCTGGTTCCTGAAACCCCCACTGGTCCTGCTGCTGCAGTTTCCACGTGTCCCTTTGGTCACGAAGGGGGTGATGTTTTGTGTTAGGAGACACTGGACAGGTTTGTGTCCCTGAGGGGATGCCAGCGGCAGTTTACACAACGAGCCCAACATGGTAGCAGCCGGCGTGTCTGAGTCATTCGTCATACATGAGTCACACACACACACATGTTTGTTTCTTGACCCTGTGGGGACCTTCCATTGACTTCCATTCATGTTTTTTAGACTTTATAGCCTAACCCTGACCATATACTC